CCGGAAAGCCACTGTTCATGCCCACTAAAGCTAGCAGTGCCTCCGATGATCCCATTCCCCTGATCCCCAGCGTAGTCTGCTGGACTAGCTGCGTTGACTTTCGAACCCATGCGAAGACTAAGTAAACCACTCAGACTTATGCATCTCCATCACCGATTTATAGCGAGCCCTAACCGCTGATATAACTTGGGCAATATATTTTTAAATTTAATTATAAGATGGATATAATGGGTCCATGGGTTTGAAAATTAACTGATTTCATTTAAATCATCAATTATTTGTTTTTTTTTTTCTACTAAACGGCTTTTACCATACTATAAATAATTTATTTAGAATATAGGGTACTAGCTTCTATGGCCATCGACTTAAATATTTTTAAACTATTTTAAATTTAATTAAATTAATAATTTCATATCAGAAGCACTGATTAAACTAACGCAAGCAAACCAAAATATGCGCCATATTTATGATAAACGCACATACTCTTTTCATCTTTGATATTTCAAAGTTAAAATTAAATTAATGTTACAATTACAACTGCGGACAAAATTAAAGTATTTTTTAGCTTATGGAAATATCAATTAAAAATAGTTTGGAAGAACAATTGTTTTAATTTGTTCACCAAGCTAATACTATACAATAATGGTGCAAATATAAAAAGTCACACCTAATTTAGGTATTAAAACTGTTTTATTTCAATACAAAGTGCAGATGAAGTACGATTCATGGTCATTTTCTTAAATTTAATTATTTTGACCGCAGCTGTGCCTTAGATTACGACCTTAAAGTCTACTCTAAGACTCTATTAAATTAACCGATTATAAAAAATAGCTTAGCAATAAACTAGCTATTCAGCAGATGCTTTTTTTTAAACTATAAAAATATTTACTATAGTTACATTTTCAGAACTTGAAGTATGAAAAATACAATATAAAATACATTGCAAAATCAAAAGTTTGTATCGATCTGCAACAAAATTAAACACGGTAATTTTGGACCCGTTTTTAACCATATTAACTAAAACCAAATAAATACGATAAAGAGGAGTTACAATATATACATATATAACTAACTTGATTTTTGGTCTTGAGGAGGTAACATTTGCAGGACAATTTCTTCCAGCCAAAATTCAGCCGAAAACCTGCGACTAATAATTTCTGAATATTAATTGTCAGAGCCCACGATCCAAGCGGCCACGTGCTGATCATGCGCTGGCTGAAAAGGATTGCCAATCGATCGTGACGCCCCAAAAGGGAAGGGATTAGAGCCGTGCCGTGAGTAAACAGATTTTGATCGTCAGGATCTCCGGCGAAATGTCAACACAGATCAGAAGAGTTATTTCGAGGGCTGCGATCCTGGCGAATCAGATGCGATTTGCGATTTGCTATTTGCGATCGCCTTGGGGTTGAAACACGAAAAGGAGGATCGTCACGAGGGGATCGCGGATGCTGATTGAAATTTTGGCCTTCTCACCTGGCGGCGAAAGTGAGTGTCCCTTTTCTCGCCTGCGATTGGAGTGTGCTCTGCACGTGGCCGCAGGACACACATTCCGAGGTCGTCCATTGTGTGGTTTGGCCCGCCCGTCGTTTGTTGTGCTGCCTCTCCTTCGTTTTTCCCAATTTTTTTTTTTTGGCATTTTTTTGTGAGTTTGATCTTCTTCAGGGAGATACAGTCTGGTTCTCGCCCATTTTCCGCCATCGATTACAGGAAAATGATGATGTTCCTGAAGGATAATCTCGGTTGCAACATCTCGAAGTGGTCTGGCCCAGGGTTATGCATCATTATTTGGCTCACACTTGACATCTCGATTGTTGGCGAAGAAAGGGAATAAAGGCCGGCACAACAAGATGCCAATTAGGCACTTCTTCTTGTTGTGCGATCCGTAGATCAGTTCGGGATCTACAGATCACGCGTCCCCGAGGAATGGAGCTTAGCTGGAACCATTTTTATTGTGAATTTCGATTCGAAATTGGACATTTGGCAGCGCCATTTTGCTGCGGCGTTACGAGATTCCCATCACGCAAGGGTTGCACAAGGGTTGAATGCTCTGGAGTCATCTCCAAAGGGGTGGTCACCATCAACCCCCTGACGCCCAACCCCCGAGAAGTCGAGGAACACGTGTCCATGATTAAATAAAATGTTTGGCAATTCGTCTAGTCCAACTCTAGCCACCCTTTTAAGACTCTTTTCCCATTTAGTTCTTGCCGAAAAAGGAGTAAAAATAAACGGGGGAAGTGACAGCATCGATTGGATATGGGTTATGGGTCTGCAAGTTCCGGTGCCATCTCCCTGATGAAGCTAAAGATAGAAAGGGGTGCATGAACGATTAAAGCCTAAGGCCACAAAACTGACCAGAAACTCAGAGATAATAGCAATCCTCATTCAATACTCATGAGGGAAGAATATAAATTGTAGAGTGAAGTGTATACTGAAAATCCTCAGAAAATGTAAGAAGTATTAATATCGATTGACTAGAAGGAGAGTTTTCACTAGTAATTGTGTTTCTAAATTGAAATTGGTTAAAATAAGTTTAAGGCTTGGTTAGCCTTCTTGTCCTAATGGAAAGCTAAAAACCTTATTTTAGCTACCGTAAGGACAAGGCCTAATTTTTATGCTGAAATATAAAAAAAATATAATATCGGTAAGCCGACGTTTTTATACTAATAAAATATTACAAAAATAAAATATCCTATAGTACAATATAATTCAATTTATGAAATATGAAGCATTGTCGATTATCCGATGCATTTTCCTTCGTTTCAAATGCAGAGTTTTATAATATCGTTTTCCGATTTTAATATAAATAAAAACTGTAAATCTAAAATAGGAAGTTATTTTTTATCTCAAAGTATATTGTTCTATAATTTGTAATTTATTTATTTACAGTGAGGTTATAATATGTATAAATTTATTTTTTTGATTGTTGCTTTTGGAGCTATATGACCTACAATAGAAGGTTTGGAAAGTTGCATCTATATAGCCTTAGAACGGGCATTTGGAAATGGCTTCGTCGACCAGTGATGCTGAACTAGATTATATATACTTTTCAGAAATATCTTCTTCAATGCGGTCCCATTCCTTGAAATTACAGTCCCTCTGACAGGGTATACAAATTTAATACGATTTAAAATGTATCTTAAAATGTTTTCATTAAATTAACCATCTTAGAACTGATTCTAAAATTAAAAATACATTAAACTATTTTCAATACAACTCAATTATCACTAACAAAAAAAAACGGATTCGCTTCGGACTATTCGTTTGAGATAAAAACTTTTGAACATCGTTTTTTTCCCAGATGTTTTGCCAATTCATTTTGGCCAAGCCACAGACGTGTGAACACCTCGATGATTGGCCACTAATGTTCAGGGGTTCATTTTTCATTTGCCAAATTTTACAGTTAATGCGGTGGACAAAAAGAGCTGAGGAAAAAGCGGCTAATATCCTTCGTCGATCCAACGGAAGCAGGACTCGTATGTGTGTGTTTTTTTCTCTTTCTGGACACACTGGACAATGGCGTTTTTATTGATAAAAATTATGCACGCTGTCAAACAAAGGCGAGTCCCGAAAATGTTGGACAACTTGACTCAGCAGAAAAAAAAGAAAGGCGAAGACGAAGACGAACGGTGCGGGGACAAAGAACCTGCTGTCATAATGGCTCAATCAGGCAGCAGGACTACGGACTAACGGTACACCCATGTACCATGTACCATGGCATCCTGGCATCCTGGCATCCTGGCCCTCTGTTGACACAATGTCTGGCGGACGGGGGAAACGACATTGCTGTGGTCACCCAAATGTCATCCATCCAAGGAAGCGGAAAAAAGGACATCGACATGGCGACAACTTCGACTTCGTCGGCGGCTTACATAAAAAGGATCTTCTCTCGTCTATTTGCCTAACTGTTTCTGCGAGTGTGTTTGTGTGCGGATGTGTTAACGGTGCCCAGCGAGTCCTGCGCAGGACACTCTCGAATTGACTTTGACTTGGACCGACAATGTGGGCAAAAACAATGTCACAAAGGTCCGAAACTACATTGAAAATGGTAGCGTTAAATTTGCTTAATCATACAAGAATTATGTATTATTTATGCCTTAATCAACGAATGCTAAGCCATAAAAATAAACTTGATGAATTTAAAAGCCTATGAACAAGGGAAATTCAAGATATATTATGTCAAAATATAATTATTAAATTCTGAAACTGTAAATTTGTAAGCCAATTTCATGATGTGTAAACCAAATTTTTTTTAATTTTACTATTTAAGGCAAAAACGACAAATACTTTATCCTTAGATTTTATAAAAATATGCCAAGTTATTGGTTTTAAAATATTAAATAAAATGATAGTCAAAAACAACATTTTTATGAAACGATTATGAAAAATAAATATTGAAAAACATATAACCAAAAAAGGTTTTAAAACTGTAATTGGGTGGCTTTACCCTTCGCTTGAATTGTCAGACAATAGAATTTAATCACGTTTTACTGTTTCTTAAGCCCGATTTTTCTCTGCCAACGTATTTTAAAAGACTCAATTTTCTTAGCTAATTTTCGGCAGTCACTCAGCAGGATGCCCAGAAAAGAGCCAACTACTACTTGGATTTTCTATTGAAATTCTCAACTGTGAAGAGTGGGCGGATCGGGAAGACGCCCATTTCAGCTAACGATTATGTGGCAGAAAATTTGGCAATTCCGTTAAAAAGCAAACAGGATTCGGCCAAAGGATTTGCCAGCCAAAGCGTAAAATGCCGTTTTCAACCTTTTCTCCCCTGAGGACCTCAACTATTCATTCTATTCTTAGGTAAAGATGACGCGACGCCTTGTTGACTTAAGATTACGAGGATGCAGCCAGCCGGAGGATTGCAGGATGACAGGATGGCAGGATGGCAGGAGATCCTGTCCCTGTTCACTTGTCGCTACTTACACACTTACCATTTAATCCGGCTGAGCTGCATAATTTTCCGTAAAAAACAAACAATATTAGTGGCAAGGCATCCGTTTTCGGTTGTGTGGGGTTATGCATTTGAACAGTTGTGACATAGGAAGCGATTTAAAACTACTGGCTCTTCTTGATGACGTGCGCCAAGTCGTAGACTCCGCGCACAGCCTTCAGCTTCACGCCGGGCACATCCTGCAGCCGGCCCACGCGGCACAGGACGATGTTGTGCTCCTGCAGGTTGTGCCCGATGCCGGGGATGTAGGCCACCATCTCCTTGCCGGTGGAGAGACGCACCAGCACGCACTTGCGGTTGGCCGAGTTCGGCTTCTTGGGTTTCTTGATCAGCGTCTTCAGGACGACGCCCTTGGCGAAGGGCTTGCCGTCGAGCGGCTGGCGCGGCGGTCGCGTCTTCACGTGCGGCCCACTGCGATGCATCTGCTGCAGGGAGGCCATTCCCCGCATGGCCGTCTCAAAACTGCTCTGGATGGCTGCGGAAACACGGAAATGCAGATGGGTTTAAGTCAGTATTTAATCGAGGAAACTCTTCAATTCTTCTATAAAAGCTCTCGTTTAAGTTAAGTCTCGGCGCCTTTAACTTTTAAGCAAAATATGTTAAACCATGACATGATCTAATCAATTGTTTCCAAGGGATCAGTACAAAGTAAAAACTATTTCATATTATATCGAATTCAAAGTCAAACCTCAGTGTCCTAGAAAACTTTTCCAAACGAGAAAACGATTTTCTAATTCTTAGATTTGATCAATTGTTTCCAAAGACTGAGCAATACAGCGAAAACTATGGAAATGCCGTCTCAAAATACTTCTGAGACACTCAGAAAGTATAATCTTAAATTTAATTGCAATATTACTTTAAGAAAAAGTTAGGAAATAATTGTTGTAGTAGGAACTTTTTATTTAGGATCATACAAATAATGGTTTAACTTCATATAGTAAGAAAATTAATTATTTCCCTAAAAATCTCGAATCATAGAGTGAACATATATACTCAGTCAGTTGACTTTCTAATCGTAAAAGATATGCCAAGCTATGGTCTCAAATTAATAACCGAATTGGTTAGGGCTAAGATCAGTTATGATCATTAAAAGTGTGGTTCATGAAGCATATGGACTCAAAACAATGGAAATTGGAAGACCATGGTCGAGGGTGATCGGTTGGAATCACAGATCGATCCAACGAACGACTGTACCCAATCCCGAAATGCGGACAAAAGGGTCATTTCCATGGACAGTTGGTCAGTGTGATTGACAATGCCCGCTGGTTCTGGTTCTCCCGATCACTGTGCCATTGTCACAGGGCTAATCTCTGTGAAAATCGAGAATTGTGCGGAATGCAATCTGCGAATGTCGACTGGCGAATGGCGAATAGCGACAATAATTGCAGCCAAATGACGCGCAAGCCGGCGATCCGGTGATCCTGTCAAGCCTTTTTGGCCAAAAACAAAGCGTCGAAGGGGGACGATCCATCGTTTTCAATTATAAATGCCACACACACAAACAGTGCGGCAGGTAATAATTTTCATATGCCGGATTGCCGGACAAACAAATCCGGCACTTCTTTTGTCCTGCAACCTGCGACCTTTTTTGTGCGGTTTAAAAATGTGCCATTGTTCGGGCACTTTTCTAACTTTTGGGGTGACAGGTTTTCAATTATTTTTGCAATTTAAATTGTGGGGGAGTCGTTGTGGAATGCGCATGTGAAACGGGCTATGAAAATATTCACAGGGAAAAGTGAGTCCGCCACGCGCTCTACAAAAAGAGTTGGGGAAAAGCAATGAAAATATGTGAAAATTGAGGGAAAATCGAGGGAAAAACAAAAACACTTTTGTGCGCCCGGTTTGTTTGATTTTCCACATCGGGAAGGTGAAGGGTTGAAAAACCCGCCAAGTCATGGACATCCAAAGGGACAGGACCCTTCATAGGAGAACTCTACCTCACTAAAACAGTTCAAACAAAACTCCAAATTAGTTGTTAACTTATTTAAGTTTAACTCACCCTGCGAAGTCAGTTGTTTCGTAATGCCAAAAGTTTGCCGCAGGAAATTCATGTTGGGTGTGTTCCGTTTAACTTATAAATATGTTTGCAGCCTTTCCCAGAAGCAGTGGAGCTGGTTTGTAAACTATTTGGTAAGCTTTTTGTGTTATAAAATCAAAATAATAAAATTCCAATTCACTTCGAATGTGACAATCAGCTGTTTCTTGGATGTGGGCAAGTATCGATATTTTTCCATCTCTAACGCTTGATGCGCGCTTAACAGCATACTGTAGAGACAGTTAACAGCACTCTAAAGTTATCGTAAACTGTTAGCTGACAGAGTTGCCAGATTGCATTCCCAGAGCGGGAGATTCAAACATATATTTTAAATGGCTCTCACTTAAGCCCAATTACTTAAGAAAATACATTTTCCCAATTAAACAATAGAGTAGATACACAAAAGCGTAAAATTTTTTGAATATATCTTTTTTAATACAAAATTCGCATATGTACGTTTAAAACTCTGCTGTATATGAACTTAAAATAGATTAGGATGCTTTTTGGGTTTTGCGTGGACTTTGCGCATACGATACAATGTCGGGTGAAATTAGTCACACTACCTTAATGCTAGATAGTTGGTTTGCCTTACAAGTTAGTTAGGTTGCTAGTTAGAGTGCCTATCCTAATTGAACTAATCAATTCGAGTCGTTGACGCTTACACTGTAATAAATAAATAACACTATGCTACAGGGCTTAGTCGAGATGCAATTTGACCCCCAGGGGGTTGCACACACAATAATATGCTATTGAATTAAACCAAAGTGTAAAAAAAATAATAAAAATAATAATTCTACTGACTATCTGGCCGGCAGCAACAAGAAAAGAGTATAACATTAATATGTATCAGCCCTGTTTCCGCCTCTTATTCCAAACAAATTTAATAGTATGTTTCTCTTGTTAAATACTATTTTTAAGCCAAAACATCAGCATTAGCGTTGCACGACTTAGCTTTAAATAATTTTGTTCCAAAACATTAGTCTTTCCGTTAATTGATAATTTTCCTATAAATTAAATCCAAACTGGAAACTTCATGTGCTTAAATTTCTCTACAAATTCAATACAATTTTTGGTTCTAGCGCAAAACTACTTCAGTATATGAAAAATAATCAATTTTTAGAACAAATCACTTATCTAATTTAAGGCTTTACGTTTAATGTTGTAAATGTGCTGCATATCGATTGAAGTTAGAGGCTTTTGGCTTAGTTAATTGCCAAATTAAATTGGTTTATGGAAAACTTAGTAAAATCTAATATTCAAGTGTTTTTAACTGCTCTGCCGACCTGTTCTATGAATAACCGATAATAATACACGTCAATTCTGGGCTCCCTAAGCCTAGTTGTCTGTTTTCGGGGAACTTGTGCTCCTTCTGATCCTCGTGATCCTGGTGATCCTTGTGATCCTGCTCCTCCAGCCATCACACCTCAATACTGTTCAGACTGCCGGAGGAAATGTTGTCCGTGTGGCTGCCCAGTCGCGTCCTCTTGATCATCGCCCTGCTGGGCATCGGCGATCGCTGGACTCGCGGACTTCCTGGCACAATGGGTATGCCCACCAGTCCATTGGGATGCCCACCAGGATGACCTGGATGAACAGGATGATTGGGATGCCCTGGATGGTGGTGCAGATGTTGGTGGTGCGGCGGCAGGTTGTTGTTGTTATTGTTGTTGTGGTGGTGGCTCAAATTCAAGTTCAGATTGAGATTGCTGTGGCTATTGTGCACCTGGCCGCCCGAAGTGCGTCGCTGGCGCCTCAGCGATGGAATCCTGGTGGGCGTAGGCGTTCCCGCCCCATCCTCCCGCGGACTCATCATGGGCGACGCCTGGTGGTGGTTATGGGTGGGTGCCTGCTGGTAGTAGGCGGAATGTGGCGGCACTGGCGGTGGCTGCTGCTGCTGCTGCTGTTGGTGGTAATCCAGGCGCTTGTGCATCAAGGTGGGCGTGCCAGGAGGATGATACGGCTGCGCATGATGCAGGCCATTCTGATGCAGACCGGAGTTATTCTGTGGAATTTACAAGGCACTCGTTAGTACAGTCAACTGGACGCATGTTGGCGATCATGATTCATGAGTGAATATGAATGACAATGGGGACAAAACAATATCGGCTGGGGGTTGGCTTTTTCTAGTTGCAGTTGAGGGAAAATAACAGCACAGGGGATATATGCCTACCAAAATATTAATGTTTAGCCTATTCAAATCAAGTTGCTCCCTGAATTTGGACTAATAAATCAACTAATAATACCTTACGTAATCCAACATATAAATACATCCCAAATTGTAACTTCGAATTAGGTTTTGCATATAATCCCATGGGTATATATCAAAAAATCATAAATATACATTTTTTGAAGTGCTGATGGCATATACTCCATCATTAATATACATTATTTTATTTTAAGACCTATTAACATTCTTTGAAATGCATATTAAATACAAAAGCTAGTTATTCTTTATAAATCGAAAAACATACCTATGTTAAAAATATATTTTAATCGCGTAGAGCAATATTAGGAGTTGATAATTTTAACTATGCTCTACTTTATATGTATAAATCGGATGACTTGATAAATAATGTAGTTTATAGATTTTAATTTAATTTTAATTTAAACTGCCATTATGTTGTCTTCCATATATCCCCAAAATATATATATATATTTGTAAGATCCCCAGAGTGCCCATCCCCTGTGCTGTTACTTTAATCCACCTCAACCGCAGGCTTACTTGGCCAGCCGTGGATGCTGGTTTCTTGGGCAGCGGTGGCAGCGGTTTGCTGGGCGCCTCCAGGACAGGATTGTGCGGATCCTGCGGCTCGTGGTCGAGTTTCGGGTGGAGGTTCAGGTTCAGCTTGACGGCCTCGTCGCAGGCCTCTAGAGTTTCGCAGGAGGACGAGGCGACCGCCGGCAGGCTCTGGTCCTGGTCATCCTCACCCTCGTCCTCCGCATCGGCCTGCTGCTCCACCGCTTCCGGCTGCTGCTCCGTGGCCAGATCCCTGGCAATGCAGTTGCCATTTCCGTTTCCGTTTCCATTCGCCAGCGGCGGCAGGAAACGCAGCTCCATCACGTTGCGATTCTGGAACATTGGACGCTCAATGTGGGCGGGCGAATCTCGGCGAGATTTGTGGCAGAATAACCAAGCGAAAGAGACAGAGACAGCAAGACAAAGAGCGAGAGGGCAAGCGGGCAAGCGAGACAGAGCTACCACATTCGAAAGTGAGGGGTGAATACTAATAATTTGAATTTGTATTTGAATTTTGACCAACCAACCAGCGAAAAGTTTTGGATGAAGCTGTGTGAAAAGTGGGCTCGGATTAAGTCCCGAAAGTTTATAATTTACCTTATCGGATGCCGTTTCCTGGGCCAGCGGATTGGGCGTGATATTCATCCGGGGAATCACTCCGTTGAGACGCCTCACATCGCCACTTTTGTGGTGTCCACCCACTCCCAAAACGGCGGAGGTCACAAAGTCCGCTTGGATGTGCTCCAATTGCGGTTTGTTCTCGTCTGTGGATAAAGAGAAAGCACTTTTAATGGGGGCCCTTGAAATCTGTGATCCATATGGGTTACCTAATCAATAAAATACGTGCTTAATATACTGAAATTTATACCCTTTATAAATTACCATTCGAAATTTATCTATATAATTGGAGATATGATTGGGATATTAACATTTATATGTTTTCAACTTGATTACAATTAAATAAAAGTAGGCTTTAAACTAAGAATTTGACCATACATACGAAAAAATTAGTCTTGAAGTCATACACATAGATTAAAAGTTTGATTTTTAATAATAAATTTAGCAATAAAGTCAAGAAAAGTACAATATCTATTTTTGATTATATTATTTAATTTTAGTAATAAGAAAATTTTGATATACATAATAGCAAAAAACAAAAAAAATACAAACATCTTAAAAATTTCTAACATTAACTAAAACTTACTGCCAAATTAATTGGAAAACTTCTAAAACCACTTAAAATAAATGGGACTAAATAAAATCAAACAATAATAAATCTTGGTGATTTAAAAAATATGTGTTTAAGTATTGGACTTAATTCTGATGGTTTTTGCATCGAAAGTACTGTAGTTTATTTTTTTGTCGCTACCCCAACTTTTTAAAACTTCCTTCAATTGAATTGTTAAACTTACCCTCTGGTTGGCTGTTTTCCCGCCTTTTCAGACACATGCAAGCCACCAAGGAGGCGATGAGGAGCAGTATACCTCCACCGGCAGCTCCTGCGATCACCGGATATATGGAGTTCTGCCGCTGATCCGCTGTTTTATTGGCGGGCTCTGGTGTCGATGAAGATGAAGCGGCCTGATCAGTGGTTTCTATGGAAATAAGGGTATATGTATGTTAGGAAATCTCTTGCAAACGAATGACAGTACTCAGTACTTACTTTTCGTCCTTGCCTGTCGAATGGCACTGAACTCAGAGGCTGCATCGGAGTTAAAGGACTGCAATTTGAATTCGTAATGCGTGCCCGGACGAAGGAGGTCTATTTTGAAGCTCCTACTCCTCGCACCATCCACCGTGGCCTTAAGGTATTCCGCCGCCGAATCCACTGGCCTGTAGTAGGCGTAATAGCCATCTATGACCTCGTCGTGGCGATCCGAGGCAACCAAGGACCAGTGCAGTATGACCGCGGATTCGGAGATGGCCTCCACTTCGCGAAGTTCGGGAACGGGCAAATTCGACTTGGCCGTGCCATTTTGCAGAAAGAACTTGAGGGAAGTGTTGCCCTCCTTGTTGTCGTTATTCGAGTAAACCGCCACGATCCGGAAGCGGTAGTATTTCCCGGCAGTCAGTCCCGTAACGGACGACGTAAAGTTCTTGGGCGGATTGCCCATCTCGTACTCCCGATCCCTGTTCCGCTGTCGCCAGTGGTTATTTCCCGATCCGGCGGATCCGGATCCGGATCCGTAGCTATTGCCGAACGGAATATTATCGCTGGTCGTTTGCCAGTTTTCCCGCCGATTTTTCCCGTCGCCCAAACGACGATATTGCACCTTGAAGAAGGTGATCTGCAGACCCGAGTTTTGGGGCACACTCCAGCGGAGCATTACGGATTCGTCCGACAATCGGGTGACATTGGGTCGCGATGGGGGCACCATGCTGGCTGAAATTTAGAATTATAAAATTATCTTTTAACTCAAAATAGTACATTGTAAAATTCAGCTGTTTTAATCTGCTTTGGAATTTATAACGTATTAATAACTGTACTTAAAAATTTGATTTTATTGCGTTGCCAGATCAACAATCATCGATATAACTACAGTTGCATCCCGCCAAAAATATCGATAGGCCTGGTAATATGATGTTATCGTTATCGGAGCGCACCACACTCAACGCCTTTTGAGTCAAAAATGTATGTTTTCGATTTGGGCGGAAAACGAACAACATTTCATCGACATTTGAAATAAAATTAGCATTTTTTCAACCGTTAATGGAGTTTTAGTGGTGGGTTTAATGGATTGAAAATAAAATAAGAATTAAGGCGGTTTTTAATTCACAAATATGCTTCAAGATTTAGATTGTATTTAACACCATTTAATTAATAAATATAAATGCATTTGTACTCATTAAAATCTCTTAGTTTTTTTTTTATTTTATATATTTTGGCATGCTCCAAGCCAATATTTATTTCAGTGTTGTGTTAAAAATGCATTTTGTATGGCGTTGACACTGGGCAAGAACTGGAGTTAAAAGGAGCAGAAATGGAGTGGAAATAACAGAGTGCCCAAGAAATGGAGTGGTATTTTTGATGTGAAGTTCAAATAACTCAATACTTAGAGATGGAAAAACATCAATACGTTTTTAAGCTGACCAAACAACTATATTACCGATGTTTGGAACATCGATGACATCGATGCCAACATCGATGTTTCCCCACCTCTAGTTGTTGTAGTCGAGTGAAAATGTGTGCGTTCTGCTGATTTTTAATTTACTTATCTTACGGCTAATCGGATGAACTAGATCGGCTAACTATATGCAATAATAATAGTGAATCAAGTGCAATATCGGATTTGTTGGACGTATGTGGACTGCAAGTGAGAGAGCGGGACGGCGACAAAAAAGACTCACACTGACGCACACTAACACACGGGCGCGCGCGCTGGTGCGTCTGTGTGTGTGCGCGAGTGTACTGGCTGTGGCTGTGTGTGTATAAGTGTATAGAGCGCGAAGGAAGAAGCAGCAACAAGAACTCAAGTGAAAAACTCAAAACAAACTCAAATGTCGGCGCAGGGCGATGGGGGCGGGGCAGGAGTTGGCGGCGGTGGGGGCGGGGCTGGATCCGATGGAGGCGGCAATGGTGGAAGTGGCGGCCAAAGCGGCACGGCAAACGCCAACGGGGGTGTGGTGGTCACCAACGGCGGAGGCAGTTCGTCCGCCAAAAACCAACTGCCCCTCACCCCGCGCTTCACCGCCGAGGAAAAGGAGGTGCTGTACACCCTGTTCCACTTGCACGAGGAGGTCATCGACATCAAGCACCGCAAGAAGCAGCGCAACAAGTACTCCGTCCGGGAAACGTGGGACAAGATCGTCAAGGACTTCAACTCGCATCCGCATGTGAGCGCCATGCGCAACATCAAGCAGATCCAGAAGTTCTGGCTCAACTCCAGGTGGGCAATCACAAAAATCCCCTTTGGCGGGGTCTTAGGTTCCAGTTTTTGGGCCCCAAAACCCCATATGATACCATGTTAATGGCAATGTTGGCCAGTTCCCAATTCAAGCCTTTTAACTATGTATTTAACTAGGGATACTGTGAAACTTTTCCTACAGAGGTATATACCATTAATGGAAACGCCTAAAACAAAACTATTTCTATCCAAAAACCTATCTATCTTGTTTTAATAACTGTTAGCCTACTAAAATCTGTAGTCTAAGCTTAAAAACTATTCAAGGGGGGTTTTGCATTAGATATAGTTAGTTTCAGTTTAGTTCCAATGGAATCTTGGTTGCCAGTTCTAACCAGAGGGGTTTTATATAACAAGGCAGGGATGTACTTGGATACCATCAATGGAATCACTTAAAATGTGTAAAGCAAAAGCCTATCTTGGTTTAAAAATGATTTATAGGAAATTAGACTTCAAAATGGGTTCTTAGTTTCATGTTTAATGCACTGACTATGAATTTACTATAAAAAGGCAATTTTCTTTGCTTTCTGACAACAATCTTAGATCTCCTGCTTTAACTTCATATACATTCAGCAATTTCCCCCAATATTATCTTATCTGAAGAGGGAATTCCCGCCCAAGAAATCAAACCACCGACTAATTACATTTCCCTGATTTCCTTTTCGCAGACTCCGCAAGCAGTATCCATATAGAGACGGCAGCTCCTCCAATCTCAGCTCTGGCAGTGCCAAGATCAGCTCCATATCCGTGACCGTCGCCTCGGCGGTGTCGCAGCAGCAGCAGCAGCAGCTCCACCAGCAGCACGACGGCGTCAAGGTGGAGCCCGAGTACCAGATCAGTCCCGACGCCTCCGAGCACAATCCCCAGGCGGACACCTTCGACGAGATCGAGATGGATGCCAACGATGTGAGCGAGATCGACGAGGATCCCATGGAGCAGCAGCAGCAGCAGGAGGCCCAGGCCCAGGCTCAAGCTCAAGCCCAAGCTCAGGCTCAAGCTCAAGCTCAAGCTCAAGCTCAGGCACAAGCTCAGGCACAAGCTCAAGCTCAAGCTCAAGCACAGGCCCAAGTGCAGTCCGCCGCCGCCGAGATGCAGAAGATGCAGCAGGTGAACGCGGCAGCGGTGGCGGTGGCTGGGGCGGCCAATGCCACCATGATCAACGTGGACCAGATCAGTGCGGATAAGCTGACCCTCAACGATCTGCTGCACTTCAAGTCAACGCGGCCGCGCGATGAGTTCATACTGCAGATCAAGCATCCAACAGAGGCCACCGGTAGGATGGGAGATGGGATATGGGAGATGGGCGAACCATATCACAGGGGCCCCCCTTTTGCGAAGCTTAGCTAACCCCACATTCTCTTTGCAGCCACCCAGATCCATGCCATCCCCTCGCAGGCGCAGCAACATCCGATGGCCACCATCACCGCCGGCGGCTACAACCAGCAGATCATCAGCGAGATCAAGCCGCAGCAGATCACGCTGGCCCAGTACCAGGCGCAGCAGCAGCAGCAGGCTCAGGCCCAGGCCCAAGCTCAGGCGCAGGCCCAGGCGCAGGCACAGGCGCAGGCACAGGCCCAGGCCCAGCAGCTAGCCCAGCAGCAGCTGGCCCAGCACCAGCAGCTGGCCGCCGCCGTCCAAGTGCATCACCAGCAGCAGCAACAGCAGCAGCAACAGGCGGTCGTGGCCGTTCAGCAGCAACAGCAGGCCGCAGCAGCGGCGGCTGCGGCGGCGGTCAAGATGCAACTGACCGCCGCCACGCCCACCTTCACGTTCAGCGCCCTGCCAACGGTGACGGCGGCCACAACGGTGCCCGCGGCGGTGCCAGTGGCCGGGGTGGCCACTCCGTCGTCGGCTTCCGGCAACTCGGCGGCGGTCAACACGTCGACGGCCTCCTCCGTGAGCATTAACAACACCAGCCTGGGCGGAGGCGGAGGCAATGGGGCCAACAACAACAGCACGTCATCGGTGGCGGCGGACAGTTTCGAGGAGCGGATGAACTACTTTAAGGTGCGCGAGGCCGAACTGCGCTGCAAGGAGCAGCAGCTAGCCACGGAGGCCAAGCGCATCGAGCTCAATAAGGCGCAGGATGAGCTCAAGTACATGCGCGAGGTGCATCGACTGCGAGTCGAGGAGCTCAAGATGAAGATCCGCATCCTGCAGAAGGAAGAGGAACAGCTGCGCAAGTGCTCCAACTCATGAGATCTGGAGGACATCAGCGATGCCGATGAGGAGCCGCAGCGCACGGATGCCTACATGGATCGCTTCACCCCAGGGGGCTTTTAGTTCTATAGTCTTAGGTCTAAACAACTACCATCTACTACTCCTATCCTGAATCCCTTATCCCTTATCCATTATCCTCAATTCCCAATCCCCAATTCCACATCCCAACTTCCACACACACAAACACACACACACACACACATTTTTTTTTGTTTTAGGTTCTTTTTTCTAGTTGTCGCGGGGCGGGGGACATCGGTGCGACTTTAGTCCACCGCTGGCCAGGATTACCGACTAAGCCATCACTTATTGTAAAACGCAATCAATCAATTAAACTGACACACGAAAAACACAGCAAAATACAGTGGGCGTGGCCAACAAATCCACGATGAAAACTTACACGAGAATGGGCTTTTTTTTTGGTAAAATCAAGGGATTTTAAATTAATATTTAAGGGCATACAATAAAACATCTATAATACTTCATATAGCTTGATTCCTAATTTTTTCTTACTTAATTCGTTATGTTCTTTGTTGGCAGAATATACTTTTTTAAATTTCTCTTTTGAATCTATTGTTGTTTTATATGCTCCACAAATGAAATCATTATATCATAATCAGATGTCAGATAGATATTGATGCAATGACAGTAACATTCTCTTGTAGGATTTTGTTTAAACAATTTTAATTTTGATTGCATTAAGTACTTTTGACAACCTTACTGAGAGTAATTTTTAGAACTGATCTCGCCTAATGTTGTTAATTTTACTAATGGTGTAATTTCCCTAAGTCTCTTGCAATTAGTAACAAATTAAAACAGATGCAAACTCACCTTTGTACTTCCTGCGGCCGCCTTTGTTTTTAGAGCCACCAGATGGAGTCGACGAGGAGCCCATTCCACCGTTCGGCTCATGCACTGGCCACATGGGAACTCCGCCGAGGGGTTCCTCATCCTCGCCAGTGATCTGCAGCGGATTCACGCGCAACATGTTGCCCTCGCTGGTCTGTAGGGGATTGGGATTACTGGGTGTTGGGATCGCCTGCCTGCCAAAGTTACTTACCTCGCCCAAAATGTTCTTCGCGAAGCACTGGACCACGCCGGCATGGCGCTTTTGAACGTGCCACAGCCGCAGACTCCGGTTGTCCACCTGGGCCTCCGGATCCTTGGTGGCATCCTCCCCGTTTATCAGCCAGTAAATGTCCGGCAGCGGATTCCCCGTGGCGGAGCAGACCAGCAGCAGGGAGTTGCTCTCGTTGGTCAGCGTGGCAGCAGGACCCTTGAGGATCGTTGGCCGTTGCAGGACACTCAACTTGACGGTGTGATCGATGGGTGGTGCGATCCCATTGTCCAGCATGCAGATGTAGGATCCCTGGTCCTCGGGCCTCAGGTCGGTGATTTGCAAGCCGTAGGGCAGGATTTTGCTCCTGTTGTTGTAGATCCCCGCCACATTGGGACTGCTCCAGATGACCCCGGGCCTGGGGGAGCCAACGCCAGGACACTCGAGCACCACGGTCTCACCCGGACGAGCGGAGTACTCCGTGGGCGGACGCTGCAGGAAGTACGGCGGTGTTCTATCGGTGTAGTCCACCCTCAGCTCGATGGTCTGGGGTAGCCTCAGCTCATCGCCCGTTATGGCATTGGTGGCCACACACGAGTAGTTGCCCGCATCCTTGGCGGTCACCGTGTCCAAGACCAGAGCGCCAGCTGCCCCCGGAAGCAGTTCCGATTGGGGCAGCTTCTTGCCGTTCCTGTAGAAGCTCCAAATGGCCGGCGGATTGGAGATGACGCTGCCACAGCGGATGAGCAGACAGTTCTTGGGCGCCACACTCCAGCGAATGGAACCCCTGGGTGCCATGGCTCCCGTCGCCCCCTGACCTCCGTCCAATTCTATCGAGACCAAGGCCAAGCGGGCGGGGGTGGAGGCCAGTGCACCCGGACCGTACCAAGCCACGCATTGGTAGTCGCCCGCCGTTTGGGCACTCACATAGATCCGCAGGCGCCAGGCACGGTCATCACTGCCACTGGTCACATTGTAGCCGGCCGAGGACCTCAGGTATCTGTACGGCTCGGGGGAGCCACTGCGCCGGAATCGCCACTCCAGGCGATCTGGCTTGAGGTTCAGTTCGCACTCGAAGACCACCTCGTCGCCCTTGGGCGCCACCGCGGATTCGGGCGCTCGCTCGAAGAAAATGCCCAAGGTGGCAGGTGCGGATGCCGAAGAAGCACCGCCATCGTTGGCATGGATATGGCAGACACTGCTGGCCAGAAGGAGAACCAAAATCAGTCTGGTTCCAGCCATCACTGTAGGAGAAAAGTCTGAAAAGAAAATTATTAGTTATAGGAAACTAGTACGAAATACTTTTTCAAAGGTTTTCGAGGAAATAAAATCTATCTTGAAATTTATAGGTTAAAAAAAATGTTTTTATCCATTTAAAACTATGAACAGTGATGGATTATTATAACCCTTTTAGGATTTTCTTGATTTTACAATCTTGGTATAATTCCTGATAAGGATAGGTTTTTTTTTTTAATACTTTAATGTTTTTAATAACATAACCCCAAGATCTCTGATCTTAAGAGTTCCAGCGGTTGAATTCCCGACTCAGTCAAGATGACTCTATTACCCCATCCACCATTTGGGTTCTTGAGCGATCTCCGACCATTTGACATGCGCGGAATGCGACAATGGCTTGGGCCCTACTGTACCTTTCAACCTGCTCCCTTTCCATTTGCTGCGGCTACTGCGCCCCAACTGCCACAAAAGGGGGCGTGGCAACGGAAGCAGTCGGGCCAGGCAATGTGCCATTTAAACTGGAGCTCCAGCTCCGCGAACCGAAGGACTCGTCGTTCCAGGCCCAGATTGTTAATGGCGTGTCATTATTATGAGCTGCCCTGCCCTGTTTTTCAAAAAAAAAAAAAGGGGAGGAAGCTATGGAGGATGGAGATGGGGATGAGGATGAGGATCCAGAACGAGTTGGACGAGCGTCTGGCCTGCGACAGTTTGGGGGCTCTCGATTTGAAATTTAAACGATGCCACAACACAAAAGCGCGCGCGGAATTCCAGGAAAACGGCCGCCCAGTCGTTAGGCATCCACCTCGGTCCTGCCCCCGGTCACTCCCCCTCCTGCCCCCCGAATCCTCAATATCACACAGATAAAAAATACAGCTGAAGATCTGTTATATTTTAACATGTACCATGTATATATAAATATATAAATTAAAATTTCTCTATTAAAAAAAAGAATAGAGCAAGAACATTTCACACTGCAGGTGCAAGTGAGAGCGAAATACTTCGAAAATTACTCCAGGTACAAAGAACCATGTTCGAATCCCATAAAAGTTTTTGTTTGGTACTGCTACGCACTTTGATTATATGCCTTATTATTTAAAGAGTGAATTCATTAAGATAATCTACATTTTTTATATAAAAAAAGCTATTTTCAACGTCAAAATCATATTTTCGTATAGAATTTTCTTTCTGTGCAAAAGTCCCTGCAGCGAAACTCCTGACGCACATAAATCGCAAAGCGGCTCCCATTTGATAGTCATTATTGGTCCGAAAGGCGCGTGCAGCTGCCCATGTTGCCGTTGTGCTCCTGCTGTTGCTGTTGCTGTTGCTGTTGCAGATGTGGCTGCTGGTGGTGGCCACTTGTTAACCCAAGGAGCAAACCGGACTGCCTACACACGAGCAACACACAACAGCAACAGCAACACAACAGCAACAACAACAGCAACAGCAACTGCAACGCGGAGTCAAAAACCAGCTCGACGCTGATTTAAAACATCTGACAACAAAAGTAAAGCGCGAAATTGACGCAGGTTTCTGTGCCCTGCCCCTTCAGCAATCCGCATTCACTTGTTGCTGTTGCTGCTGCTGCTGCTGCCGTCGATGTTGCTAGTTGCTGGTTGCGTGTGTTGAAAATTAATGCGCATTCCTGGGCCAACAGCAACACAGGCTAAAAAAACCCAGAAAGACTGAAAGCTGAAGAGAGGAAATGAATGGGAAGCGCTGCAAGAATCCATATCAAAAAGTGGAAAAAGAGTCAACAAACCAGCAGAAAGAATAAGTCTGGGACAGATGCGCTGCATTAGTCCACACAGAAAGAAAAATGTATAAAACAGAATTATCTAAAATAAAATGATTGCCATAACAAATTTGCTGCTATGAAAAAAATATTAACATAATATCATAACGTCAACAAAGAAATATCAAATGAATATTGAGCTCTTTTTTTTTGTTGTGCACAATTTAGAGATCTTCAGTCAGAAGATTGCCAATCAAAACTGGACGAATTAAATGCAATTTTTGAGACATTGAAGGGATTTTAATAATAATGCAACGTCAATTTAAATCCTTTTTCCAGCTTAAGACACCATTACCACTTGAAATTGCTGCTAATATGAAGAGTATTAAGCTGCTGTTGCTGTTGCACCTGTTTAATCGCACTCGTTTTAAAGATAAGCTGATACATATAAAATAGTCTCTATATTGCGTAAGTCACAATTAAATATTTAAACAACTATTGACTTGTTTACCAAACCACCTTATCTACACAAAAAATAGCCGACACTGTAAACTGTCAACCATTGTGGGGAAAATTGCTCTAGGTATTTTATTTAAATTGCTAGGCCTTAACAAGACAACTATTGTTGTTCGTCTGGCAACATGTTGCTGCTGTGTGTAAACTATTTTTAGCTATGTATAATCAAACTTTGATTGCCATTCATTGACAACATGCAATTTGTGTTGGCCACGGACTTGCAACTAGCAATAAACACCTATTAGTTGGCTGTTAATGGGCAACATGTTGCTGCTGGGCACTTGCTGTTGCTGCTGTGAAAATAGCAAGTCGAAACATATGTGCTTGCACAATTAAGCGATTGTTTGTGGTCACAAAAAGAACACTGTGTTTGAACAGCCATAAGGAGTGAGATTATGAAACGGCAGCAACATGTTGCTAGTTCTTAGTTGCTAGTTGCTACTTGCCGGTTGCCACAAGCAACAGTTGGAAGCAGATGTTGCTGCCGTGCATTATTCACCGTCCAACCAAATATGGCCAATGATCTTGGATCGCTGTTTATGGTTGCTGCTGTTGTTGCTGCTGTTGTTGCTTCTGATGTTGCTGTTGTTGCAGCTGTTGGCAGCACAATTAATTGGTTGTTTGTTTTCGGGCCAGAAGTTAATTTGATTAGCCACGGACAACAACAGTCTCCTTTTGTTGACTCATTTGGCGATCTATTCACGGACATCACAAGGCGCGACTAAGAGGGGTTATTAATCAAAGCGGGGTGCCAAATTAAAAAGCATTAATAAATGGCAAATAAATATGTTGAGCGACGTCATTTTCATCATAAAAAACTATCACCAGATAGATACACTGAGAAAAGGGGGTTCTGTTTACCTTTGCTGAAATGATTTATGGATTTCTTACCATTGGAAGGCCAAGTTTTTTCCTTTAACTAATGACCTAAAAGCATTTTGCTGTACTTATATTAATGACAAGCGGTTTAAAAATAGATTTTGAGTTACAAGATGTCTGCTCTCCCAAAAAATCAACGATCTTGATTAAGTCTTTTGCTGCTTTGTTAAGCTTTGTAATATGAGACACTTATGAATACCAACGGGGTTTATTTTTTTTTCGTTGTGTACCATCTAGTGGCTGTCGGTTGGCCTGTCAGAAATTAGCATAAAACTGTTAGAAAAGTCATTCAGCGATGGGATAGGCGTGGCGCCCAGTGTTTGAGACAATTGAATTGAATAGCGGAAGAGAGGAGGGCCACCATATCTTAAAGAAGGTCTCTGGTCTCAGGTCTCGAGATCTCAGGCCTCTAGAGTCCGGACCGTGTGTAAGTTCATTAAATGAGTGCGAGGCGTAACGAAGCAACATCCACAATGGTGGTTGAATTTATCCATATGAATTGCTGTTGTCATAAGAGATCCCCCTTTGCCTAACCCCTTTCTCGAACCCCCTGATCCCGTACTGCTTTTGGCCATTAGCAGCGGCAGTTAACAGCTTGTAAAACACTAACACCTGCTACAAGTTGTCGTTGTTTTGCGGTTGCCGCTACGCTGGGTTCAATAAAACCTGAGAGCCAGTTCATCATCATCATCATTGCGATCATCAGCAACAGTTGCTGGCAGAAAAGGAGCAATAGAAAAATCACGAACTACAAAACCCCCAATCACAGTGGCAGATGATTAAGGCAGATCCATCTCGGGTTATTAAATTCCGCGAGAGAAAATTATGGTCTACTTTTTTGGAACATTGATTTTTGCAGTGTCACCCTTGAAAGTCATCTTCACGATGGTAACCTTAACGAGTAATTAACGTTGAATTATCGTTGTTGAATTTTAAACTATATTTCGCTATGGAAAAGAGGGCCATATTATTATTGAAGCTTATTAAATTCACATGTCATGACATTAATACAATTTAAGCCTGCTTATTATTACATTTTTGTAATAGTCATCTCCTTCAGAAGACTATTCACTGTGGAGGGTCTTTACTGTAAGCACACACATTCACACACACACACACAGGCGGAAGATATCGGCGAAAATTCTTTAGCAATGGAACCTGTTTTGCCAGCCGGAGAAGAAGAAGCAACCGCTGAAATCTTCTTTTGAGCGCGACCGGAACCGGAGCCCAAAAACAAGATGCCAAGCCACACACACACACACACACACAAACCAATACCCACCCAGAGCCCATGCAACAGGAGCGCTGTGGCGCCCAACGTGGGGCCTTTAAGCCCCCTGTTACATAAACAAGTGGCGCCCAACGTGGAGCTTATAAGTCTGAAGCATAAAACTCACATTTCGAAATGAAATTAAAGAAATTATGATATTTAGAATTTATATTAATAGTTAAGAACAATTAAGAAAATATTTTCGCTCAGTGCATGACATTTTTGGAGGGCAGGTTTAGCGCCAGGGCGGTGGCGCAGAAAGTGAAGAGACTCGCATGTAAACGAGTTCGAAATCTGCATTCCACCGACAGCCAACAGGATTTTCTACTGCGACTGTAAGGAAGATGATCATCGTAAAGACGATTATCCAGTATACCGTGATTATCTTCTTCTTGATGATGAAGAAGCTGGATGGGTTTGCCCCACCTGTTTCTGTTGCAATTCTGGAATGAAATGAAATGGTATGGAATGGTATGGAATGGGTTGAGGAGACAAGCCCTCACACAACCTCCTTATGGGGCCAAACCAATATATTTTTCAGAGAGTGCGTGGGCCCAAATAACGATTTGTATGGGCTAGGAGCCAGAACCAAAAGTCAGTTTTTAGTTCGGAACTGGAGTCAGGGCTATGGTTATATGGGTGCGGAATCGAAGCTGCACGCCCACCAACTGAAGTTTGGGGATCAGGGGAAAAACTGGGGATGCGATCATATTTTGTATTCTTCTCTTATGTTGCGTGGGCGCCGCGCGGTCAGGATTAAGATTAGCAGTTTAGTTACCTTTTGTACTCGTTGTCACTCGGTGATCCTTCCGTCTCTTCTGTTTTATTCCTGTCTCTTTCCAGTCAGATATTTTCCTTAGAGTTGCATTCTGCCGCTGTCAACTGTAAAAAAGGCAGAAAACGAATCCAAAGTTAGGGGTATACATAAATATTGAAAATAGACGACACTTTTAATGAATTTCAAAATAATTGAGGCCTAAAGTGGCACAAAAAAGCTCGGCGACAGGCAAATAAATGCGAAGCCTATAAATAACCCATAAAACTGGGAGAGTGGATGGGTAAAAAAAGAGCTGACACGTGTGCGTGAATGACACCAGAAGAGGTTGGGGCTACTCAGTAACTTTGGGAACAATATTTTTAGGGAAATTGAAATAATCAATGTTCTGATAGGCAGATTAGGTAGATACAACTTGTTTCCTACTTTACTTAAAAAACTTTATATCTTAAAGTAAACAAGGCCTATTAAAGTTCTGAACCAAAAAACTGCTAGTTGTCAATATTTAATATTTACAAACAGTTTTAAAAATTCTTTAACTAAACCTATTTTCTACTACCTACAAAAAAAAATCGGACCAATTTAATCGCACGCCATTAAACTAATTCCCTCTACCGAATACCCCTTGTACCTGGGGCTAAATCGAAAACTCCCCTTTAGTGTTTGCCAGTCCATTTAAAAAGACATAAAACGAAGACTGCGACTGTGAACACAGAAATTCCCTAACGAACAAATGTCATAAATATCCCGAAAATACAAATTTCCAAGCGAGTGGCTAAAAATTATGCCAAAAACCACATAAATAATAACGAGAGGAGCATGAGAGGGGGAGAGGTCTTTCGATTTCCATCCAATACTTTTAATTAATTTATGCGATTCTCTTTCTATTCTCTGGAACTTCGCCCACCCACCCACACACACAGTTGTTGGGCCGTAATTTTTCTAGAATTTTTGAAAAGTCGCCAAGTCGAACAGAGCCTCAAAAAACAAAAAAAGTTAAAAACACAAAAATTGTGAAAGAGAACAACAATAAAAATAAAACGAGCGCCACCCCAAAAAGCGTCTTTTGTGTGTGTATTGGTGAGTGACAGTTGTCATTTTTCATAAATATTTTCCAATTTTCTAAAAGCCAAGTGAGAAATTAACGACGAAAACAGACACAAAACAGAGAAATAAACTTGGAATGCCATTGCAGATCTATTGGGGAATATTACGGCAGGTCTTTAGGTGGTGATCCCTCGATTTCTTTATAAATAATTTCATAACTTTAATGGCGCTTGTCAGTCATCATGAGGCGATAATGGCAGCAAATAGAATCAAGTTTTAGTCGTGATAAATAAATTTCGAATTTTATGTGCGCCGACTTGAGTCAATTCAACGAAATGATTGCCTTTAAATTAATAACTTTATCGCTCAAAATTCATAATGATGACTTAATAAAGGCTAGTAAATTTAAATATTTGAATAAGCACTTTCAAGCTTCGATACATTTAAAAGAATTCGACAAATGGCAAATACAGAGAACGAAATCCAGATTGCCATTAAAATCATATTTTAATTCGATATGTGACGTTTCTAAGTTAAGTAAAAATCTGGACAAACACAAAACTTTAAGAGTTTTACTAAATTATGGAATTTAAAAGTAGTAGTTTTTGGATCAGATGGTTTAAGTTATGGAGTTTTCTTTCCATTTTTCCAAAAAATTTCCTACAATTTAGAAACTATCTTCACTTATGTAGATTTTGCATTCTTTTTGTCCTTTGTTAGTGCGACAGAGTATCATATTTCTAAACGGCTTTTTGCAGAATTGGCAGCATTTTGAGCACGACAGCAACATGTTGTTGCGGGGTAGTCGCATGTTGCCGTTGTCGTGGCTGCTGATGACTCACTTTTGGGTCTGTTTGTCGGTCAGCGAATTAGAAATAGGTGGCACTGCAACAAAATAAGTGACAGCGAAGCTTTTTTACTTGACACCGGCATTTCGAGTATCTCGCAGATGTGCAACTGCTGCCTGCCGCCTGCCGCCTTTTACTTTTGCCACAATTAATGTGCATTTTCTCCGGCTGCCTTTTCTTTCCCTTTTCCACATTTCTTGTTATTATTATCAGCCGCCCTCCAGCTAACGACATTTGAGCCAATTTTCCCGCTGCTCGCATTCCACGGGTGAAAGCCATCGACATCCACCATCCACATTCCCATTTAAATTTACGTCCACATTCACATTTCACAGCAATACGCGCCATTCTGCCAAATGCAGAAGGCAGAAAGGAGACTCATATAAAAATAAGAAACGACAGTCAGAAAGGAGGAGGAGTGCATTTGAGTGGCGAGTTGTCAAATACCCTAAATAAAATGTTTACTTAAATTTTATCTGAATCCTTTTTTTTGTGTAAAATAGATCTAATCGGTATTCAACCATTCTATAGACAGTGCCCAAAAATGTAATGTAACTACCCGAATTAACAATTACATTTCATAGATAGATAAAGAATACCTAGTACTTAATTGGTAATTTGGGAATTCATATATCTTGATCCATAAAAACAATTAAAATTAACGGCTGTATTTTTTTTATCTGGCGAATTGGTCAGCCATACGCGAACTATTATTAATTTTAACTTGTTTATAGTTTGAAAAAAATATTTCTTAAAAGAAAATATATTTAAATTTCTATAGTCTAGATCGCACATTTCTTTCGTTCCCTTACTTAAACAGGGTATCATGCTTCAAAGCATGCTTGCAGAGCATGCTTCAAAATTTATGCGTTGCCCGATTTGAGGGGGAAGTCTGTGCTTTCGGATCACGGAGGGGGGGAACAGGGGTTTTCAAGGGGTTTGGATGGGTGGCTCGAGTCCAGTTTTGAATATCGTTCAATTTGCAATCTCTCTCTTTCTCTCTCTCTCTTTCGTACTTTCTGTAATCTGCATTCCTTGTATTCCTTTCCTGCTTTTTTGGCTCATGGCAAGTCTTATCCATTTTCGATTGCCCCCCGAAAGTCCCGCGATCTCCCTCATTTGCATGCCTATTATAAATTTTTCAAATACTTGTCTTGGGCTGCCCTCGTTGTTTTTTTTTTTATGGCCCACCATGTTTAGTGATTGCTATCTTTGTCATTGTTGTTTTTGGTGTTGCTTTTGTTGTTGGGGCCTGGCTTTTTCATTGCAATTTATTTGATTTTCATTGCATTAAATTTTTTGCGCCGTCTCACTCTTTGCTTTTGTTTTCCTGGTGGTGCGTTGCCATAATTTGTTGTCTCTTTTCTGGCTCCTCTCGATTCTGATCTTGGAATTTCAATTTGCTTTTCGTTTCTTGGCTTTTGCGCAATTCTCCTGTCTGCATTTCGATGTATGGGGTTGGGGAATTCTCCCAGTCTTCTGGTCTTTTGGTCTTCTGGTTTTCCACCTAACAAGCTTGTCGAGCCATTTATCATAAACATTCGTCAGCTGTCCCACGCCCCTTTGGGAAATTCCTGCCCCGTCATTAAGATATTTTTGTTTTGGGGCTTTTCCACCTCTATTTCCATGTCGCCCTGCAGCCAGGCTAAAATGCCGGCATCCGAGGTAACCAAACGATTTGGCCCTCTCTTTTCGTAGCACTCTACTCCATACAGTATACAATGGCAGAAATATATCAACCAAATACAAATATAGCATTCGAATTTTCACAATAGTATGGCAAGTTAATCTGCATTTAAAATTATAAGTAGAACAAGATACATTTTATGTGAACACAAAGTCGGATTTTGGTAATTATTTTAGAATAATTCATGGCATTTAAAGATGTATATTAAGTAATATCAATAATTAATATTAAGTTTTTCCAAACTCAGTTTTCTGACGTGTATTTATAATTTTCAACCTTTTGAGTCTGTTTTTCGAACCGCTTTTCAACGAGTTTGAGGTACATGTGGGCGCCCTAATGGTCAAAGATAAGATTTCCCCGCATTTCCACCGCTTTCCCAGCCTCCCCACAAAAATGTTCCTTAAACTAATGAGTCTCTTAAGCTTCTCTGCCCACACAAACTCTGGCAAATTGCGCAAATTAATATGAAATTCATCAACGGGAAAATATCAACTAATTTGGCAGCAAACAGGAAATGCAAGACTCTCGCATGTGGGGCAAACGTATAAAAAATTATTATCTCTTTTTTTCGCACGACAACAACGCCCAGGCAGACAAAAACAAAAATATAAAAACCAATATTAAAAACCAAAAAAAATAAAAAAAAAAAAAGGCGGCAGCACACCTTGGGCTTCCCTCTCTTTTACTCATGGTAATTTTTGCTCGTACTCTGACGTTGTTTTTGTTTTTGCTGCTGGGTTGGCAGGCGGCCACAAAAGTCGCCGCTTTTCCTATTCGTTTTCCATTTTCATTTTGCCACTAGCCGGGTGGCATCCAAATTGGCCCACATTTGGCTGCCTTTTCAATTTTCCTCTCGGTTTTCCGAGCACAGTGATCGTCAGCAAATTGGATTTGGGTTTTTGTAGTGGGGGAATTGGAATTGGGATTGCTGAGGGGTTTTTAATTGAAAGTATTAAAAATGTTGATGACAAAAAGGCAAAACAACAATGTTATTTGAAGATAAATTTAACAATGACGATTCGATATCTTTGATGATTTACACAAAAAAATTATACAAATATTGCAAATGATATGCAAAGAATTTTGCTAAGAGTCGAGGAAAGACAGTAAAGAGTTCGAGTTTAAAAAAATAATTTAAACATTGGGTTGGGTCGACTTAAGTGTGCTTCCTCATATTCTGTCTTGGACGTTTTAATTTGCGTCACAATTTTCACCTCACTTTTTTTGTAGCTTTGTTCTTCTTTTCTGTCTGAGGTAATTTAAAACGCGCGCCAACTTCTTCGATTACCTGCGGGTTAAACAATGGTCACCACTTCCCATTGTTGGCCTTCCCTTCTTTGCCCCACCTCCCTCTTCACAAAAAGACCCCTTAATATGTTCATTAATTTTAATTATGCATAAATAGTCGGTGTCAAAAGAACAAGGGAACAACAGCGAAAATCGAGAATAAAATTACCAAAAATTTAAAGAAATAAACATCACGCATAAAATTTGATACGAGCAATATTGAAATATATTGGGAGTG